CTCCTTGTTCACCCCGAGCTTATTCCATCACCTCCGCAACTCTTGAGCTAACCGGGTGGGGGGGGGTAGAATTTCCACAGGGCTTGGCCCACACAGAGTCTACCCCTGGATATGGCTCTGAAGTGCTAGCTAATGTAATGGCCCTGACCAAAGTGACCATTTTCCTGATCCATCATCATGTCAGGTAACAAAATATGATTCTGCTGGACAAGTCCCGTGCCATAGCTTTAGCATGACTGGTATTTGGTGGTCAGCATTGCTAAGTGATAACACGTTCTTCAAAGGAAGAGTAACTATCATTGGGAATCTTTAAGATATTTTCACCTCTCAGAAACACATTGGGCTCAACGTGGAGCTACATAAGCAGCAATTCAAACCACCAAAATCCCAGAGTTCTGCTAATGTGAAGTGATTCCTGTAACTGGTGGTATGACACCTTTAGTAATGTAAGGCTATGACACACAGCTAAAAGTATACAATAGTACAATTGAGCCCACAATGTTTCCAAATATCTTGTTATGTGCCCACTTTTCTCCTGAAGTTTGCCTTAATATAAGTAATGTTTTCCTTAAGAAATGGCTTGATAATATCTTGGAACAGATGGCAATCATGGAGGTACAAAGAGTTTGTTTACCATGCACCTCGAACACATGATATGATGCATTTTAGTTTCTTACTACAGAAAGCAAAAGTATATGGGGTATCGTTTATAAGGAAATAGATGTGAACCCCCTCAAAATGGCTTAAAATCTCTATCTTATATTGGTACTTATATTTAGGGAAAGAAAACAGTTTATATAGATGAAAGAAAGTTTCTTGTAAAGGCCCTCTGTAGATTGGCTGAATTGCCTTGATCCCTTTCACTGCCCTTTAACAAAAGAATGAAAAACAATTGAGTTAGCACTAGGTGAAGGTGACAGTAATTAATGCATAATTTGATTATAAGATTTAGCAAAGAATCGGTTATATGCTTTTATAAAATCCTTTCATTTGTGATCTTTTAATTCTGTACTCAATATTTTAATCAATATTAGTTTATGTTTAGTAAAAATTGATTTTGAGTATAAGTAAACTACTTGTCATTATGTAATCACATGCGCTGCCAACCGTGGAGTTCCTGGCTTCAGCCAGGTGATTGCAGGTTTCAATGAGTAATGGTTTGCTAAAAATGTTTTCTTTGAAATAGAAAAAATATTTTCTAGGATTGCTTCTTGTGTTTTCATAACCATAATGTAATGAAAAATGAAACAATTGGATGTTGTGCAAAAGCTTGTGGTGATTTCTATATAAAAAAAGAAGGCAACTTTTCTGAGTTGTCCATTATGAGCATCATGCCATAGTGGTCCGTGTCTTATCTCTTCTTCCTATCATCTCGCCAATCCACACATCCTTTGCAAGCTCTCAGTCAGCTGGAGCTGGTCTCCGGCAGAACCAGTTGGGCAACGTGTAATAATAATAATTGTGTCCTTTGTCTTCTGATTATCTGTACTTAAAGGCTTTATATGAAAAATTATTTGTAGGAGAAAATTCTTATGAAAACACTATTTATTATAGAAAAATAGGGAGTAATACAATTCCTATGGCTTAATCTACTGAATTAAAATTAAAAATATTTCAAATTAAATATGCAATAAAAATAAAATTTTATGTTATAATGTTAAGGGAACAAAGGAAGACTTTTAAATTGCTTATTCAGGAGGATTAAAACTATGTTTAACAATAACAAAAATCTTGTATCATCAGGTAAAAGTACTCAGGGAAGTCCAGCCAATTGATGACTATATTTGGGTGTTGGGCTTTTTTTTTGTTGTCATTGTTAAGATTTGTTTGGAAGTCAGAGGTATATATAGAGAGAGGGAAAAATAGAGATCTTACATCCCCACAGTTACTGCACTATGCCAGGCTGAAGCCAAGAACCAGGAGGGATCCAACACGTGGTCAATTGTCTGCTGCTCTCCCAAGCACATTAGCAGGGAGCTGGATAGGAAGTGGAGCAGCTGGGACATTAACCATGTCCATATGGATGTGGCATCACAGGTGGCGGCTTAACTGCTATGCTAAAATGCCAGTCCAGTCATTCCTCCTAATTTCTCTGTTTTTCTGAATTTTCCAAAGTTTTTGTAAATAGCAGTTTTTATTGTGAAGAAGTATTTTCTTCAATGTTTATGTTAATGTTGCTTGGGCCAGCAATACTTACCATGCTCCTGCCCAAGCTGGGAAGAAACCTTACATCCTTTGGTTTCCTCCTCCCACCCCTGGTTTTTTTTTTTTTTTAAGATTTGTCTTATTTTTATTGAAAAATCAGATATACATCAGATATACAGAGAGGAGGAAAGAGACAGATGAAGATCTTCCTTCCATTGATTCATTTCCTAAGTGGCTGAAAGGCCAGAGTTGCACTGATCCGAAGCCAGGAGCCTCTTCCTGGTCTCCCACATGGGTGCAGGGTCCCAAGACTTTGGACTGTCCTCGACTCCTTTCCAGGCCACAAGCAGGGAGCTGGATAGGAAGCAGGATGGCCAGGATTAAAACCACTACCCATATGGGATCCCAGGGTTACAAGGTGAGGACTTAAGCTGCGTGGCCATTGTGCTGGGCTCCCTTTGGTACTTCTTTAAAAGATAATTTGCCTCCACATTGCTCCAGCTTTCTCTTCCAGACACTGCCTGCCTTGTACCTGCCTAGTTCTCAGCATGCTTGTTAAGTTACAAGGCAGAGTCCCACTTCCTTTTCCCTCTTCACTGCCGGATTAGCCAATGACACTCATTTAACCATACAACTCCAGGTGGGTTAGGCTGGCTTCGTCTAGTTCCGCCTGCCTGACAATGCAGTTTTTGTAATTCAGAGGTTGTAGCTTCCCTTTGATGGTGATGTATGTTCTGGTCCTGTAACTGTTTTCTCTCCCTCTTGATCGCTCTCTTTATCCATGCTTTAAACAAAGATAGGGACTGTTTAGCCTGGAAATGATGATACAGCTGTCAGTCTGGCATTTGCTTGTACAACAAGGACTTCTTTTCTAGACTCCTCTCTATGGCTTTTCTAAATTGTGTTACCGAGTACCTGTTGGCCATCTCCCTTCTTTTGCTAGCCTGGTTTTTAGTCAGGTCACGATCATAGGTCAACCAAAAAAGATGATGGGATGGGGTGGGGAGGAGCTCCTGACATGTACATCTTATGACTAGTTCAGTCAGCTTTTCTACCCTTGGTTTCAGCAAAAGTAAAAAAGATGGCTCTTGGATCTCAATGTCTTTCTCTGTTTTTAAATTCCTAAGAGGGCACGAGCACAAGCCTTATTCACAAGCCTTTTTGTCTTCCCAGTTTTGTACTTGACTCTCTCCAGAATTCTTCTCAATATCAAGAAGTACTTGGTTCTGATAAGGGGTCTGTTGGGCTATACATTGATGACTCCCATCCCATATTCCATTCCCATCCTATATTCTGTTCCCTGCTACATTAAAAAATACATATTTTAATTGTAAAATGCTTATATTTTAGAAAATATAAGTTTAATGTTTTACAAACAGCTTGAAGACATTACACAATTGTGCAGATGCAACTTATGATTGTTAATGAAAGTTAGCTAAGATGTTCTTCTTGTAAACACGTTAGCTATCTGTTGATCATAAACCTTCATAGATCTTATGCTACAGTTCCAAACATGATGATGAAAGGGAAATTCTTTGATCTGGTTTCTCATTCCGGGTAGAGTTTAAAAATCACTTATCACTGCCACTCAGCCAAGTAATGATGGCTCTTGCCACAGGATTTTTCTGTACATTACTTACCAGTTGTCTGTCAGTCTTTTCTGTCCTAATAAGTGTTATTGGGTAGAGGGGGATGGGAGGGAGAGAGATGGTGGAAACCGCTACCTGCCCTGCCCTAACCCTAACCCTGTTATCAGTGTATTCATGGCATTCATTACTGTGGATGTCCTTGAGTTCGATTTTTTTCTGCTTTGCACTCTGGGGATACACTGTGGTATTTTGTCATTAGGAACACATGCTGCAAATCACATCAGATAGCAGATTTACTAAATTTTCACTGTTGGCTAAGATTTTGTTGATGTTTATCTAGCACTCCTCCTATGCAACTGAATTTATATGTATATTTAACTAATAATCAGAAATAGAAATTGATCATTACCAAAGTTGCAAAATAGGAATGACTTGCCCATTGAAATATATTCTTGCTATGAACCATAAAGTGCACCTCTCTTCAGTGTAATATGGTCAGAGTATTATTATGATGACTCAAACTATCTTTGAACAGATTTCAAAAAATAGATTTGAAGTATACCGGCAAGTGAAGATATGTCATAGTAGGCGTCTCTACTCCAGAATAAAGGGAAGACTCCCAGTAAAACAGTCAAATATACCTCAACAATATGGTACTAGATTTGCTGCCATTGTCTATACCTATAATTCCATGAGGTACTTAAACAAAAGAATGTTAAACTTACAACAATCACTAAAGGACGATACTACAGTATAGTCCTCGCATTGCACATGCGGGATTCCATATGGGCACCGGTTTGCATCCCCACAGCCCCACTTCCCATCCAGCTTGTTGCTTGTGGGCTGGGAAAGCAGTAGAGGACAGCCCAAAGCCTTAGGATCCTGCAGCCATGTGGGAGACTAGGAAGAAGCTTCTGACTCTTGTCTTTAGATCAGTGCAGCACTAGCCATTGTGTTAACTTGGAGAGTAAATCAACAGATGGAAGATTTTCCTCTTGTCTTTTTCTTCCTCTCTGTGTATCTGACTTTTCAATAAAAATAATTAAATCTTGAAAAATGAACTAACTACAATACTAATATAGCAGGAAATAATAGAAGGGGGAAATAGGGAGGAAGAAAAAAAAAGGGAAAAGGGGAAAAAAAGGGAAAAGGGGAATCCCTATACCTAAAATTTTTTATCATGGAAAATAATTAAAATACTTTTAAAAATGAAATTTTTTCTGCTGAAAGAAAAAAATAAAGTGATTTTTTTTGTTGTTGTTGTAGAATTATACGGTTCCTTCTGGTGACTTGTTGATGCTGTCTCCATTTTGGCAACACAGAAATCCGAAGTACTTTCCTGAACCTGAATTGTTTCAACCCGTAAGTTGGCTGTCCTGATACATTTCACTTTGATTTTAATTTATCAGGAGTGTGGATTTGTACATTAACTAGGACAATATGAGTAAGCAGTCCTTTTTGTCTAGTAGCTAACAACAATATTGGCCAGAAAGTACAGGTTACACCTCCAGTGTAGATTCTATTGCATTTACAGTCAGCTAGAAGGATTGTTTTGGAGTTTCTCTAATATTAAAAATGTTTTTATCTAAAGCTCAGAGGGCATATAAAATAATTATATCTGCTTCTAATAGATTTCATTCTTTTCAGGCAGTCACTTATCCCTGTTTGTTTGTTTTTAAGATTTATTTTTATTGAAATGGAAGATTTACAGAGAGAGAAAAAAAAAAGAGAAAGATCTTCTATCTGCTGTTTCACTTCCCAAGTGGCTGCAAAGGGTGTAACTGAGCTGATCAGAGGCCGGGAGCCTCATCTGGGTCTGCATGCGAGTGCAGGGTCCCACGGCTTTGGGCCATTCTTTACTGCCTTCCCAGGCCACAAGCAGGGAGCTGGATGGAAGTGGAGTAGCTGAGACATGAACTAGTGCCTATATGGGATCCCAGTGGTTTCAAGATGAGGGTTTAACCACTAGGCTATTGCACTGGCACTCAGGCAGTCACTTCTATGCTGGCTACCAAAGAGTACAGAAAATAAAAATAAAACAAACTAAAACTGTTACCTGTTATTTCTTAGAATCAGGGAGTTAGAAATCTGAACAGTTTTGTCAGAGGTAATTTAGTCCATTTTCTGCCTTTAGGTACAGCTGTCCAAAATGGCATCCAGATGTAGTCATTCGGTATCCCACGTTTCCTCCAAAGGGCAAGGCTCTCCATTTCTTCCTACTAAACTTATTACCAAGGACAATTTTATGATGAAGGCTGAGACCTTGTTATAAATATTCTTCCTTTTCTTAGGTCAGTTATTTGGTTGATTTACATTATTGTTTACATTGACCACTTAACAGAATTCCTTTTAAACTCTTTTGTTTATACACTCATGTTCTAAAATGACAATTGTGTCTCATATTAACCACAGGTTGGAAAAAATTACCAACAAGCTTGCAATTTTATATGCAAGGATTAGCTGTACAAGATCATTTTTAGCCTAGAGAAATAAAGTTAAGCTTATTTATATAAGTCTGATTTGGAAAAAAAAAATATTTTCTTCCCACAGGAACGTTGGAAAAAGGCAAATTTAGAGAAGCATGCTTTCTTGGACTGCTTCATGGCATTCGGAAGCGGGAAGTTTCAGTGTCCTGGAAGGTCAGTGTGACAGCTGGGTCACATTTATCCAGAAGATCTGCAAAATGTTGCTGCGTAAGGAGGGGGCGGGCTGTGGGGGAGAGGCAGGGGGGAAGCCTTGGATCGCTCGCTCTCTTCATATCAAACTAGAAGTAAATCCAGGAAAAGAGCTTGTGTGATTGTCCTGTGGTGTTGTGTGATCCCTTTGTGGGAATGTTTATGGTGACTTCTGATAGAATTCAGAATACAAGACTGCATTTCCCAAATGCGAGACAAGTGGCATTTGGTGCAAATGCTTGGTTTTCATGCCAGGGTAATCTGAAATGGTTTGAGTGCTACCCTTTTTTTTTTTTTTTCTGACAATGATAGAATGAAACTCCAACTAGAGTGTTATCATGCCTACCAGAGTTGAAGAGTAACTTCAGCTTTAGAACGAAACAGTAGCAGAGTAACAGTAACAGAGCCTATAAGGCTCTTGGGTATTGGATTAGTTTGGTTTTGTAAAGCTTTTGCTTTGATACCTCTTATAACTGAGCTCATCTGACAACTAGGACTGCTTTTTAGTCCTTCCAGACTGCTTCTACTGCCAGTGGCCACTACTTAGTAACGTTACTATCCCAGGTTTACTTAGCCAAGCACAAGATGTGTGTAAACATCTCACCTAGGCCGGTCCTTCTGCCAACCATCAGAGATAGAGCGCTGCAGAGGATACCAAACCCAGTTTATAGAACATACATTAAGTAAATCCCATTTCTCCACTGGGATAGTTTTCTTGGAAACGTGTTGGTATCTGTAACAAAATCTTACTCAGTGAATGGATACTGTTTCAGGAATATTATATCTGAAAAATTGTGATTTCTTGATTTAAAAGTCAGGGAGCATGCCTGGAAGGGAACTGTGAGTGTTCTCCTGCTAGGCTATTCCGTCTGTTGGTGAGCACAAAAATTAGGACTGTGGTTGGCCCAACTGTACAAGATGATGCTACTTGATGGCCCACATGTGGGTCAGGTCTGGAGGGTGAGTTGGGCGAGTTGCTGCTAAACTGCAGCACTTATGGGCATGCCCGAGAGCCGGATGCGATGTGGGCTGGTCCAGGCTGGAAAGAAAGAGACTGGCATGTGTAAAAACAAGGGCTGTGGGTGGGACTAGTGGGGATTATTAACTGGGGGTCTTCCTGATGCTAGGCCATTGCACCTGCTGGTATGAGTGAGTACCAAGTCTGAGGCAGGCTGACTGGGCTGGGCCATTTGTTGGTGTCAGATATGGGACTGGGGCAGAACTGATGAGGCACCTGCATCCACTGGTTTGTGTGGTGGCTGGTACAGGTGACAGACTGAACCCAACCCTGCACTGGCTAAGCACACACAAGAGTCAAGTCTGAGGTCATCCTACATGAGATTTCTTGGGGGACTTCCCAACTAGACAGGCCCCAGTCACTCCCCCAAAAAATCATAGGATATATGGATCAACCTTGAAGTGCTTCCTCAATTGCCGATGGCTGTGCAGTAGAGAGCAGGTTCAAATGTACACAGGGGGACATGATGGCCAGCTCATCTGACCAGAAGTGGACATTGACTGTCTCATCAGAAGATGGGAAAGAAGAGGCTGGAAAATTCTCCTGACTAAGCTTTACAGCCTTTTTCTGGGTCTGTGGATGCACTGAGGTGGACTTTGTGAACCAACAGACCTTGTAAAGATTTCTCATGGAGCAACAAAACCAGTAATTGCTTAGAACTATCAAGACCACTCAAGTAACACCCTCAGAACACTTCCCCACATCAGTATCTCTAAGGCGTGAAAAGGACTGTCACCTCTCCTCTGGTTCTGGTGTAGTTTCACAGCAAGGAGCATCCTCTTCCTCTCTTCCTCTGCAAGCACAGGAAAAAAAATATAACTGAAATATGCATCCCACTCACCTTCCTCCACACCTCATGTCCTCCACTCTAACCAGAGACCCATATGGGCATGCACACCTCTCAACTATGTAAGAAATATTAAAATAAAGTAAAAAATTAAAAAAACAAAGTAATATAATACATTTGTATGTTCACTTGCACATTTAAACATTAAAACATACTCGAAAATATTTGCTGTGGTCAGACACAATGTTAAACATTTTACAGAGATGAGTAATGTTATATCACTGGGGATTTAATTTGCATTTCCCTAATACTAATTATTAATGATGTTGTATTACTGGCTTATATATTTCTTGTCACCTATGCATAAAACTTTGGATAAATATCAAAGGAAAAAATAAAAATTCAAGGTCTGGCATTATAGCACAGCAGGTAAAGACAAAATGCCAGATGTTCCATTTTCAATCCAATATCCTGCTAAATTGCCTAGGAAAGCTATGGATAATGACCCAAGTTTTTGAATCCCTACTACCCACATTGGAATCCTGGATGATGTCCCAGCCTCCTGGCTTCACCTTGTTCCTGTCTTGGCTGCTGTAGCTGTTTAGAGAGTGATCCTGTGGATGAAAGATGCATCTCTCTGTCATTCTCTCTATGTAATTCTGCTTTTCAAGTAAATAATGCTTAAGGAAAAGTCAGTAATCATTGAACAGTAATCTCAGTCCATATTTACTATTATTACTTATTTGGCATTACTCACTACAATTAATCCCATCTTTGTTTCAGAATATCAATTTTTAAATAATTTATAGGTTCCCCAAAGTAGTGTTTGCAAAAATCAGTTTACTTATTTGAGACACAGAAAGAGAGAAATTTTCCTTCCCCACAACTACTGGATCAATCCCTCAAATTCCCAAAACTGGATCACTTCCTCAAATTCCCAAAACTGCAAGAGCTGGGCATTCATTGGTCAAAGTTTGGAACTGGGAACTCAATTTAGATCTCACATGGGTGGTAGGAACCGAGTTATTCAAGCCACCGCCAGTGCCTTCCAGGGTCTGCATCGATAAGAAGCTGCAATTAGGAGCCAGAGCTGAGGCACAAATTCAGACACTGAGATGGAATGCAAGGGCCTTAGCTGGCATCTTAACACTAGAATAAATGCCCAACCCACAAGTGGTTTTAATTCATGTTTGCCAACTGTGCACATTCCATCCTCCCTTTTAGAACTGATTCTAGAAACCAGAGCTCAAGAAAATTGGTGCCTGGTATTTCCCTGGATAGAAATGTTTTTCTGGAGGTGTCTAGTTGACTTAAGCTGACCAATCTCTCTCTCTTCTGTGATTAGGAGAGAGATGCCTTCATCTTTGACTGAGAGTGGTAAGCAAGAAACAGTTTAACTCCAGCTGTCTCTAGCAGCAAGTTCAGAAGGAATAAGCCATTTGATAGTGTAGTCTGCAGATGGCAGAGCAGAGATATGGAAAGAACCTGAATCCATCACTATCATTGTGTCATTGAGTTCTTCAGTTTTGAATGACAAATGGTGGGCATTTGGTAAAGCAGTTAAGGTATAGTTTGGGATTCCCAGGCCCCATGTTGGAGTGCATGGTTTGAGCCCCATATCTACTGCTCCCAATACAAATTCTTGCTAAAACATACCCTAGGAAGATGGAAAATAATGATCAGGTACATTGGTCCCTGATACCCAAATGGAAGATCTTGACACAGTAATGGGATCCTGGCTTTGGCTTGGTCCAATCCTGTCACATGCATTTAAAAAGTGAACTAGCAGTTGGAAGATCTCTCTATGTCTCTGTGACTGTTTCTCTGCCTTTCCTATAAAGTGGAGATTAATAAATAAATTTATTTTAAGTGTCCTTATTTTTAAAGGCAGCTTTGTTTGGTAATTAAATTGCTTAATATTGGAAAAAAAAATGACATCACCATCAAATAAGTCCAAATTGAGCTGTAATTAACTGGTATACTTTAAGGCCATAATGTAACAAGCAACAAAAAAAACAAAACCCATCATGTTCATCTTCTCTTTAGTATTATTTACACTTTAGAGAAACAGCACAAAAGCCTGTGACACATTTATTTTTGGGGGGAATGTGTTTTTTACTTAGCACTTAAACCGCCAATTAAGATGCCCATGTCCCATGTTAAAGTACCTAGGTTGGATGCCTGCCTCTGACTCACGGTCTCAGCTTTGTTTCAGTGCAAATCCAGGTGGGACAGCAGTGATGGCTGATGCAGTTTAGATTACTGTAAACCATGTGGAAGGCATGGATTGAGTCCTGGCTCCTAGATCACAGCATTAACCCAGTCTAGCCCTAACCATTTCAAACGTTTGGAGAATGAACCAGGGATAGGACCTCTTTCTCTCTCTCAAATAACTATTTTATTTTAGTTTATTCATGTTAAAATACAAATTTGTTCTTATTATCTACTAAGTATCAATGTCCTTGGAATAGTTCTTTGAAATACAGTGAATGTAACATTTTTTAAGTCTCTTCACATTTACTCGCAGTACCAACTAAAAAGTGTATGGTAATCATCTTTGATATTGAAGTAAAAGTATTTTAAACCAATAACTTAAGTGTTTTTGCAATGAAGCCAGTGGTCAAGATTTATCTCAAGGCCATTGCTTCTAAAAGAGACAATGCTAACAGAAATTTACTTGAATTTGAAAGTAGTGAGTACATAAGAGAGAGCTGTGATATTGTAGTTTAATTTGCAACATCTTATTTATGTAGAAACTAAATATATATATTAGAATGATCTGAGCTCATACTATGTGCAAAACAGTGTCCTGGGCATGTGAGGGCCTTTGGACATGAGTAAGGTATGCTCTCATCTCTCATGAGATGACAACTTAGGGAAGGCAAGAAGGATGGTAAGCTTTAAATGACTCTAAGGAATGCAGGGTAAGAAATGCCCAAGCAATATACTATGGAGATTCAAGAAATAATGTATACAATTAGGCTGGGAGAGTGGCCTTTGATAGGGAGAGCTTTTGGTTAAGGGACCAGAATGAGCAAAGGGCTGCGAGGCACAGAATTAAGTGGCATAGAGGTTTGTGCCTTCACTGTTAAATCAGGGCCCAATTACTGAGAGTGGAGAGAAGTAGAGGTGGCACAATTGGAAAGGCAACTTACTATT